GAAGGTTCTCAGTCATCCCCTATGTAGCCGGTGTACCAGAGAAACTCAGGAGATTGTGAAACCCTGGCTGATTGTGACCCACACCCGCTTTCACACCTTGGCTCATGTGATTAGGTAGAGGATCATCAGGGGGTCCTTTGTCCCTCTTTGGGGGGAAACTCCCACTGGGTTTAAATCTGGGGTCTCTCAGTGACTCTCCACCATTTGACCCTTAGAACTGAAGAAGCTGCTCGGATGAGAGGTGAAACGTCTTCAAGCAACTCAAAGAAATCCAGACGCTTTTCTTTCCAAGCTCCTTAGACCAATAATGGCCCAAGAATAGGTCCCTGTAGCACACCCCAAAGCAGAGGGGCCACAGAGGATGAAGCCAACCCCAACTTAACACAAAAGGTCCTATTTGAAAGATAGGACTTTAACCACAAAAGTGCCGAACCAGAAATTCCCACACAGTGCTGTAAGCGGGAGATCAGCAAATCGTGATCCACTGTTTCGAATGCAGCGGTCATGTCCAACAGGACCAGCACTGCATATTTACCACAGTCTGTCGCTATCAGAATGTCATTCATAACTTTTACGAGGGCTGTCTCCGTACCGTGAAATGGCTTATAGCCGGACTGAAAGATTTCTGACAATTGAGAGTCATTCAAATAGTCCATCAACTGAGTATAAACATTCCTTTCCAGAATCTTACTAAGAAAGGGAAGCTTAGAGATGGGTCTAAAATTTGATATGACTGAACTGTCTAAGCCTGGTTTCTTAAGTAAATGTATGACTGCATGCTTAAACTCCTTAGGTACTTGACCAGACAAAAGACTAGTATTAATAATAGATCTATAGGAATATACCCAGAATACAACCAGTTGGCAGCCGTGGCCCTTCGAGCTCTGTTCATTGAAGACTTATTCAGACTCATTGCAGCTTGTTAGAGTATAGAAGTGCTTTATAAGAACCAGTCCATTTATTATTAGAGTAAAAAGCACTATATAAAAACCAATCCATTTACCATTTATGGGAATTAGTTATACATGCACTGACCTCAGTGTTTAAAACTTACTGAGCATTCACTACAACAGTATATGTCAGAAAATGAGGAAAAGCTCAAAAAGAAATTTGTGCTTCCCATTGCAAACTGTTAAAATAATCATTTCAAATGACATGGTTCTTTCAGCTGCTCACTTATTTCCCTAAGGGGTTGCTACAGAAGATGGATCCACATGTTGATTTAATACAGATCTTATAACGGATCCCCTTCCTAAAGCAACCCTCCTCGTCTGGGCTTGACACCAACACTAAGAGCATGCTGGTTTGTGACCGCCTTCGGCTGGCTTTGTTTCACCGCCTGGTCTCAAATCACAGATCTTACACATTAAAGGTGAATGTTTTTAAGCACTACATCACAGAGACACCAAAGTTATCATTTCAAATGATCAAGAAAGAGAAGTCTTCGTCTGTTTCACCCTACAGACAAACAAGTGATCTCACAGTTACACAGAAAAATCAAAGTGCTGCAGCAATTATTATGCCATTAAATGCAATAACTTTGGTAATTTGGTTTCACTGTTAACATTAGAGAAAATGCAAATTGGATCCACGAGGGAGAGAGCAGACATCCATTTAGACAAATGAGTGTAATTTCAGTGCATGTTAGAGAGCATCAGTGAGCAGATTCTGTCTCAAGCAGTCTTGTGCAGGGCAGAGACACCAATTTAGCTTTGGAGGGAAATCTGCTGGATCAGGTTATGGCAAGTTTCAGAGATTTTGGTGGCAGCAGACGATGGAAAGAACTGTAAATCTGACCCCAAGCGCTAACAAAAGCATCATCTTGTTTCGTCAAATACTTATCTTCAGTAGCACAACTTTTCTTGCAAGCACCTCAGCGCATGCTGAAACACCTCTGTGTTCTGGGTGAGCTTAGGCAAAATATGTCATTCACAGCAGCTTCTTTGAGTCCCACCTCTGATTTTTTCCAGAGAAAACCACATGCACCATTTTACCTGCCATCAGACAGCTCTTGTCAACAAGAAGTGAAGTCGTCACGTTCCACCAGACTTCTTAGTGTAGATCAACCGGTAAATGAACAGCTTTGCATATGCATCACAGACGACACACCAATCCATCTGTCATATTCGTGTCTCACATTTCAGTCTCCCCTAATTCATGAAAAAGACACTGAGCTACCTAAAGTCTTCCACTTGTGACAGCAGCTTATTGCTGCCATAGAGTTGGCACGCCACCCTTTTCCAGCTGAGAACTATGGTCTCGGACTTTAAGGTGCCAATTCTCATTCTCTCTGCTTCACACACTTTGGCGAGCAGCCACAGTACGAGCTGTATGTCTGATGAAGCGAACAGAATCACATCATCTACAAACAGCAAAGATGAGATCCTGAGACCACACTTGGCTATATCTAGAAATTCTGCCCATTGAAAGTTGTGAACATGAACAGAATCAATAACAAGCACCAGTAGAGTCCACCACCCACAGGGGAGGGGATCCATCAATATGAACCAAGCTCTCACTGGACCACATAGCCCATAGCAATGAGCCACGTACCCCATACTCCTGCTGAACAAGATCCTGCGAGGGATGTAGTCAAATGCCTTCTCCAAGCCCGTGCTGATCTGGACAAAAAACACAGATGCAATTATCTACTTAATTTTGTTTTAATCTTGTTTTTAAAAATATATTGATATATTTTAAAATATGTACAGATCTCACATCTGAAGGTGTCTTTTAACATCTGAATGAGCAATCTGGTCACCTGTCTCACTATCTTACTAACTCTGTTTTATAATCTGCTGTAAGATTCCTATATTTGCCTCTGATGCGCGCCGTGCTTTTTGCAGAAGAGAGATCAATTTCTTAGTGTCTATGTGCTAGGGGTAGGGCACAATGCTTTGAAACTCACACTGCAACAAACACAAAGACACAAGCACGCAAACCTTGCTATTTGTGACATTGCCAGAGAAAAATTAATTAATTAACGATCAAATGTTGAGTCTTTTGCACGTGTGGCAAACGTGGCTCTCACATCACCGTTGCGGGGATGTCGGCATGAAGGCGTGAGGAAGCGTTAATGTCGAAGAGGCCTGTGTCTGAATGACACAATCCCGTTATTTACCCAGTCTATGTGCAGCAGTAACAGGAGATACATGCAGGAGAAATCCATGAATGAGAACAACTAACTGCCACACCAGGCATTTAATGCATAAAGAGGGTTTTTCTGAATGCACTCCGGATCTGCTCTGCCATTACACTCAGGCTTTTCCTGTCAGCCGTTCATTATCCTTGACAGGGCACACACACACACACGCTCACACACACATTACCCCTTTTCAACCAGTACTTGTATGAGCATGAGTATGAGTCACGTCTCAGCTCTGTGATTCATACCTGCTGCCGCTGCGATCATACGCTCTTTAATAGGTGTTAGATGTTTACCTGCACACCTGCTGTGTGCGCCTCTGTGTGTATATGCCTGAGTTAGGCCAGGGGGGATTACCTCTGTTTACTGTGCAAAAGATGATTAACCTGCAACCACGCACACAAAATTAGTCGTGTTTCCACTAGGCACGGCATATTAGGATAACAAACAGACAGCTACACACTGACAAACACACACACACACACACACACAAACACGCACACACACACACAGAAGAAGGGAAACACCCCATCATGCTGCTGTAACCATGGAGAAATCAGCAGAGAAGCAAAAAAAAAATGAGCAGAAATTGTGATGGGAAAGTGTGAAGAGGTTTTGGTTGAAATAGATTGTTGGTTCGATTTCTGTGAAAAGTTTGTGCTGGCATCAGAGTAAAATAACTTTTTCTTGATTTTTCCATTTACAAAAGGATCTAAATTCAAGGTACAATTGCTATTTATTTTTCTGGAGTTGTGTACACCACAGTCTTCACTGGTTGCTGCGAGTATGGATGAGGCAGAGAAACCATGGTAGCTGCCTTGGATTAGCTAGGATTGTGATAAACATGCACACTGTATAAAGTTAAATATAAATTGTTTAACCTGTTAGCAGTCGGACGTACCGCCCACGGTACATTGGATGGTTTAGGGGACTAATTGTAAATTTGTAGGACTGCTAAGGGGTTAATGCCCTATAATTCAGTGTGATTCTTGTTGGTTTAATACCTTTTCAGTAAATCTCTTCAGTAAGGTCCAACCAAACCCCCTTTGCCTTCAGCTGTATTTTTTTCTGTACCTTAGTTAGTTAGTTAGTGGCAAATCGCTACTCAAGGCACCTCAAGGCACTTTATTTTGTAAGGTAAAGACCTTAAAGTAATGCAAACAAAACCCCAACAATTTGACAACCTCCTGTGAGAAGGCACTTGGCAACAGTGGGAAGGAAAAACTCCCTTTTAACAGGAAAAAGCAGCCATCTGCTGTAGCCGGTTGTGGATGAGGGGAGGGAGACAGGACAAGCAACGAAATGAAATAATTCCAGTTTTTAATACTTACAGCCAACTACATTTCAGAAGAAGACAAGAAAGCACTTCATGTTGAATGACTACAGGCCTTTGTTGGGATTGTAATATATAGAATTATGGCAGTGCAAAAAGGTGAAAGTGGGTCTAACCCTGTACTAGTAAGATGTAACTAATGGTTACCAGCATGTGTATGTTCATATTCTTTACAAATTACACAACATATATACACAATATATATTATTTATTATATTATTTTGGTGTACAAAAGACAGTTGGAGCATTAGTCTGGACTGTGGCTGTGGCAGAAACTTTAAAAAAACAGATTTAAAAAAACAAATCTTTACTGATTGCTTTGTCTTTGTTTTGCAGGATCAAGCATGAGAACATTGTGGCACTGGAAGACATCTACGAGAGCCCCGACCACCTCTACTTGATTATGCAGCTGTGAGTCAATGTTCTTTTTCTTCTTCTGTTGTCGTCATTGTGTTTAGGACATTGTGTTCGACAATGTGACTGATGGGAACAGAGACCCCCAAATCACCCACATCTCCCTGGAAGACCATTTCATTTAGTGACTGCAAGCTCTGCTCTGTCACATAATGGGACTCATCAGCCTGTAAAAGCTGTTGTGTAATATGTGGGTGTGTTTGTGGGGGCGGGGTTGGGGTTTGTTATTTAATATTGTATTAGTAGGGTAGAAATTAAAAAAAGAAGACATATTATTTCTTTAAGACAAAGCTGGTGCTACAAAAGTAATATCAAATTATAGAGGGCATAAGCCATCCTATTGTGAAATTTTAGCCTACAAATGAGTACATTTTAAATATTAGTTATAGTTTATATGTTAAATCTTTCTCGAGTGGGTCAGATTTTATTCTGGCAGATATTTTGGTTTTCTTATAGCGAGGGACAAGAATACAAATTCTTTGTTGTTCTGTTTTTGATTTTTATTAATAATAATTTAATGTTTCAGATGTCGGAGTGCGTATTTCTTATTTGCTTCTGACTTACATTGTTGCTAATTTACAGAGTGTTTTCAAATTCTCACACTTTACCTCTCGTTCTTCTGTCCACCCACCCATCACATAGACACACAAAAAACACACAAAGCCCACCAGTCCTCCCACATGCACGCACACACAGACACACGTACTCAAAGCCCACCACACCGCTACGAGGCTTCTATTACATCATCTGATGTACATCTCTGCTTTGATGGTCAGCACTAGAGGAAAGGGTTCACCCACAGGTGTCCCACTAACCTCCTCTTCAAGGTTAGAGCTGCTTACATAAGGAGTTGGTCTGGAAGTTTGGCATTCGAGCTGGAAACAAATCAGTCAAGTTCAGGTGGAAGTCAGAGCCGTGGTTTACACAACAGTGGCGTGTTTATTGCCGATGCCAGTGGATTATCTGCTCCCCTACCGCATGTGTTTGGGTGGTTGTGTTTCTGTGCCAACTCGCGGCAATACAGGAAACGATTTTGAGGTCTTTAACTTATGAATAAGCTCATAAGTTAAAGCTAATATTTAACCTACCTATGGCGATTTAAGTAAAACGAACTTACATGTGTAGATTCATTCCAAATGGTTCTCATGTTTCCTCATTTTTCTGATCTTGTAATATAGGGACGTGTTGGGAACCCGGAAGCGCAATATACCGACAATTTGTCACCTAGTGTAAAATGTTATGCTTTGGGAGTGAGACCATGTTGGTTGATCACAGTTGTTAGAAGATGCAAATGTACCTCTATCAGCTTTCTCATAGTCAAAAAAAGTATTTTTTTCAATTAAACTTTAAAGATTTGAGCATAAATGAGGTTATTTTGCCTGGACGATAAGCCTGGTTTTAAAAGAAAGAAACGTTAATATGTAGATTAAAGAAGAATTTGCATTCAATTCTGTCAAAGCCTCATAGTATACTACAGATCCTATTACTGTGGACGACTGATAAATTGTCAGCAGTTTCACCAACTCTTTAATATGGGGCTAGGTGAACTTGGTGAGGTTACTGTGACATAGTTAAGTCAGACCTGATCTAGTAATGGAAGTTTGAACTGACATCAACGATATTTAATGGTATTTATGTTCAGCAGCAGGCAGAGTTGTACATACAACCTTGGCATTTTCCATCCAGGTCAAAAGCATTTGTATGAGAATAATCCTGCACAGCAGCTATAGACGCTCATTATTAGCCATCACATCCACATACTTTACTGCATATAACTCACTGTGTCATAGCAACTTGGGATGCAATTATTAATGCTAAGGGAGTAGTATGATATTTATTTATTACCCTGTACTGCTCTTGTTACCCTTAAACAGACTAATTTTAATACAGGTTCATTTTAAGAGCTGTCCCTTTTTAAAATAGCCTCGACTTACTAAACTGCTTACAAGTGGAATAAGCTCCAAAAAGTATGAAACTACCAGCCCTTTTTAAAGTAAAACAGTTTTAGGTTTGCAGATCCTTCAGTCATTTATCTGTCAAGTTTGTCCCAAACCTTTTCTCCTTGAAAAAAGATCTCAATCTTAATGGCTTTTTGCAATCTTATTTTTAAAAAAAATGTTTTAAGAAATGCAATATTACATGTCTAAAAACAGATGTTAGAGACGTTGAAATGCAATATTGATATTATCATTACTAGCAAAACGCTGCCCTGGGGAACAAAATTCCTTTGTGGATACAAATTTTGGTGACTGCTACACACACACACACACACACACACACACACACACACACACACACACACACACACACACACACACACACACACACACACACACACACACAC